ATATATATATATATATATATATATGTATATATAATTACAATACTTGAGAAATTAAAATCGAGATTAAATTAATTTATTTAAAAATTAGAAACCAAAATCACACAATTATAATAGGCTTAATTGTGTTTTTGCTAAATTAAAATTTTAAAAAACAAAATTGCATAATTATAATAATAAAGAAATAAAAATGCAGTTAACCAGAATAATTCCTTATCTAATTACTGTTAGTGTTTTTAACGATACATCGTAAGAAATAAAAATAAATACAAATTTTTTTAAGAAAAACTTGCATTAAAAGTTTCTAAAAGCCAAATATCTAAAGCTTCTGTTTTCTTAAAATATAGCTTTTGAAAATCATTTTATATCAAAACTAGTTTTCAAATTAATTTTAAGATACTTCAGAAAACATTAAGTATTTTCTTAATATAATTTCTTTCATACTTCCTTCTAATTTGTTACCCCTTACGATTTTCACATAAATTTGACCATTGTTACTTGTCAGACTAAATATACAACGTTCTTATAATCAGTTCAGTAAAAATGCCAATTTTTGCTTTACAGATAAGTAAATTTACAAATAAATTAAATAGAAACTAGTTCCAAACAGATTGACTAAAATAAACTTGTGGCAAAATTGGGTTATAAATAATCTCAATTTATAATTTTTATTTATTTTACATAACCAATTCAGAGAATTGCTAAACCATTCCACGTAGTCTTGCTTGCATATCTTCAATAGCAGGCATGCAAAAATAACATTCAGATAAAGCCACATTCCCTGAAATCACATTATATACGTAGCCATTAACGGTGCCAAAATGCTAATCTTGATTCTCTAACAACAATTAATGATAAAAAAAAATAAAAATTATACGACAACGAAGACATTTCTCTTTCGTGTTTATGCCACTATGAATCATTTACACAAGCATAGGTACGAACTTATGGTAGGCAGAAGAAACTAAGCCTACCACGTGCCATGAGCTAATATAATGACAACAATATAGATTTTGGATGGTAAATTAACTATATGATTTTCACACTTTGGCATTGAGTAATTACACTTCTAATCATCAAGAAACTAAGCATAGGCCTTCTGATAATCTTTCATGAAAAAATTCCAAGCTAACCATGCCGCACCCACAGCAGGCTCCACCTGTTGTGCAATAAACCAACGATGTTAAAAATTGATTTTTGATATTTAAAGAGTATTTGAAAATTGATTCTTCATATCTTATTGATTTTGATAAGAAACGTGAGAAAACTACATCATAAAAGCTAAACGTGAGAAAACTATATCTTGTCCACAATGATCTTATTCGACTTGAATAGATCCTCTCAGAGTATGCCTGTGATCTCTAACCAAAAAACTTATTTCCAAGACTCCTCCACAATCAGGGTCTATTTTTGTTCCTTAATTACTTAGTCACTTATGAGGGAACAATAATCGTGACCTTCTCTTTTGTAACTAGTGATCAGATGGAGTAAATATCATCTAAATCACAAAGAAATGAGATATGATCTTTTATGCAATTGTTTTTAAATATGGTTGCCAACAGCTGAGGAAGGGAAGTGAACCATAAAAAAAAAGGCTATAATAGAAATTTAAAATACTACCTACAAGATAAAATGACAAAGAATGCTGACCTTTGGTCTAATGGGAATTACCCCAGGAAAGTATTTGGAAATGCAATTCATTACTTCTTTTCCTATATCCCACCTCCTCCTATTTGCTTCGAGAACCCCACCAACCATAACAAGGGGAAAGGCACTATTTCCATCTGCATAAGTTACAAACTACCAGTCAATGCATATATTCATAACAGATGGAGAAAAGATCAAGAACCCATATAAATGATCCACAATTTCATGCCAATTTTATATTTTAGAAGAATGTTCTAGAGGCCAACTCAACTAGTTCAAATTTTAATCACATTTCCAATTCAAGATAGCCTTAAATGTGCAAGTAGCAAAACAAAAAGTGTGACTCAAACACATTAAGATCTATATATGATAGCAACATCCAGTGAAGATTTAAATAATGTTATATTTTCAGGTATGCAAAATGCCAGATAACATGTTTTATGTCAATATAATGAATTTAACAAATTTAGGAAGCCTTGATTCCCAGACATCAAGCATAAAGTTAAAAATGAAAATTCTACAAGGCACAGACATTTGCGGCCTTTTAAATGTGCAAGCAGCAAAACAAAAAGTGTGACTCAAACACATTAAGATCTACATATGATTGCAACATCCAGTGAATATTTAAATAATGTTTTATTTTCAGGTATGCAAAATGCCAGAGAACATGTTTTATGTCAATATAATGAGTTTAACAAATTTAGGAAGCCATGATTCCCAGACATCAAGCATAAAGTTAAAATTGCAAATTCTACAAGGCACAGACATTTGTGGGCTTCCTAAACATTGCATAAATTTTAGTTCAGCTTACTAGCACTCACAAATAAAGGACTTAAAATCAAATTGTTATCTCACACCAGTTACGTCACAAGTTTTATAACTTTTTTTCAGCATATTACATAATAATGAAATTCTACTATACTACAGAACGGGATTCACGATATATATTTTTAATGGATATCTATCTATGATGAGTATTAATGTTATGCACTAAAAATGATATTAACTAAAATAACACCTAACCTTGACCACACAATCCAAGTCTCTCTACAACAGCTTTGACACTTGAAGCTAGCTCTTGAACAGATTCTAGCAAGATCTTATTTGCAACCTCATCCCCAGCCTCTGCACAAGTCACTACAACTGGAACAAGTGCTGCAATGCGGGCCCAAGATGGATCTGCATAGGTCCATCTGAATATAGCATGTAATGAAATTAAATCAAATTACGTTGAGAAAATTACTTCCAACTTCAAATTTTTCATTTTTGAAATATATTAAGTCAACTTATTTGCAATTATAGTGTGCATTGACAAGGGACTAAGTGACTAACCCATACCAGACTAAACAGACCTTATCATTTGTTTCTCTATATAATGCACAAAAATTGGTTTGAAGTGTAAGTACCGTGAATCAACAATCACCACAGCCTCCTCATGCAAGCAAAGTTGTCAAAATCACAAGATCATAAAATCACATGATCTCAAGTCTTTTGGAGGATTCCATGCTGAAATGAAGCTGTGATCATAAATTGGCATGATCAGACTGAAATCGTCAATCTTGCTGGTAGGTTCATTGGATCAACAACCCTTTGCAATCCAATTTTGGCTTATGCAGCTGGGTTTTGCATCCAAGTTTGCAGAACCCCCCTAATCTTGTGATCCCTCATTCATACCCTTCTCTCTTGAATGCTCCCGCTTTGTACTCTTGAATATCTCCCACTCCCTCACTCCTTGTTCTATCTCTCTATTATCTGCCTGTGCATTATGTTATCAGCAGGATCTTACAACTTGTATTACAATCTTATGACTTATAATCTTCTACCCCTTCCTGATCCTAGGTAGAATCCTGATTGTGTCATCATTGCATGCAAGAGCCCTTTGTGCTTGAAGCATGGGTTATGCACAGGCACACTTACCTTGTGCTAAAATTCTTGTGTTATTTTAATAATTAGGGCTGCATGGATCAAACTCTATACTACTTGCCCATTGAGGCTTTAAATCTTAATACCATTTCATGAATCAATATTCCCAAAGCTTTAGCTGCTAGGTAAAAACAAATGGATTTTTTTTTGGGTTACTTAACATCTGTAACAGTAAGGTTTCAAAATAATAGCTTTTTACTTCGAAAAAATATATACATGAAATGAACAATTATACAACTAGCATACATACCCAATTAATTCTTCTGCGGATGAAAGACCAAGCGATTGTAATATACTACTTGTAAGCATTGTACTTGGACCACGACCATCATGTGCTCTTACTACTGCAGTTAGCGCCTGTGCAGCTATTCCATATCCACTGCAAATAAAACGAGATTTTAAGAAAACTGTTAGATCAATTTACAAACTAAGCCCTTTTCCAGCAAACGGAATTCTTGGTCTCTGCATTACACCTTCCCTCACCAAAAGCTCATTTTCAAGGTTAAAAAGTACAGGTGTGTTACAGAAGAAATGCAACAAGATAGAGAAGGGGACAGGGGGAGTGGTCATCATAGATGAAGAAATAGTTGCAACGGGTTACCTGCCCCAGTCACCTAAGACAGGTCCTGCACCTGCAGCCCTTGCCTCTTTTCCATCTTCAGTAAATCCGTAAGCAATGCTCCCTGTGCCGGCAATTAATACACAACCATGAAGTTTACCCATTGTTCCACTAGCCAGAGCAGCCACAGCATCATTCCGAACATATAATCTCACATGGCTTGGGAATATATCGCTGTTTACATCAGGTCACAACGCACTTCAGTCTCTAAAATAACTGGGAAACTATAAGGGAAATTAAATAAAATAGCATATTTAAAGAACTGGACCAGCAAAATGTACAAATAAGCTACAACTTAAATAAATTTCAACTCTAGCTAACTTCCCAAATTTTATTGTGGTCCTTGCTTTAATTTTTTTTACAAATACTGCTTTAGCAAATTCAAAAAAAAAGAAACCCAGTATCATTCAATTTTAAATAAAATTGAAATAATGGAGTAAAACTTGTTATGCAAATGCAAGTAAACAAAAAACGGCAGAGGTTACGTTGTCACTTTCCTTCATAGAAGTTGAGTGCTGTAATAACCTATTATTCATGATAGGATTAACTTAGCTCATGGTCTAAGTTTGTACTTAGGAAGAAAACTTTCTTTCATAATATTATGATAAACAACTTGAGACTCAGTTGTATTAGTCAGAATTATCAACGATGTTGAATCCATTGACTCCATAAAATAGGGTATTACTGGAAGAGGTATTTCCTATCCTTCTGTAATTTAATATATCACAAAATCTAACAGACAGCTATATCATTAGAGACAAAAACAGTTTTTTTATTACTTATAAAAGCTGACAGATAAATAAAATAAGTAAATTTGTTTAGTTTCTTCTTATAGCAGAAGAGTAAAAACAGAATGATATACTTTTCATAAAAATAAAAACAACAGAAAAGCAACCTAAGCCAACCGAGAATTCTTTGTTGATCTGTTGGTTGGTTAACACCAGATACAGCCAAACAAACAGCTCGAACTGCAGATCGTTTCGAACCACACTTTGAAAGGGCATCTGCCATAACCTGCTCTATCGTTTCCCTTGCAGCAATTTCTGTAGAAAAAGTGATTAGTCATAACAACTAATAATAAGACTATCCTTGCACTGGGATCTTCGTTCTATTATGACGCATAATTCTATAAAACTGTTGAAGACACCAAATTCTGTTTGACGTTTATGCACAAATTTAACTCACAAAATGAGCGAATGGAGATGCTAATGGTGTACTAGGCAACAAAACATAAGTTATCACCAATCTTTGTTTTTTGGGGAGATGAGGTGGTTAAAATAAGAGGTTCATAAACGCGAAATAAGGGAGAGCACAAAGTGGAGGTAAAAAAAGGCACATCATCTAAAGACAAAAACACTGTTGTCAAAACTTCTTCAGAATGTCAAATAGAAAATCCTATCACAAAGTCAATGAGCACACAATATGTAATCTTTAAAGAAAACAGCCACTTCCCCCAATACAAAATGTCTTGGTTATTGCCTAAGCCATAACCAAAATCCTCCAAAAGTAATCAAAATCAAATGTATATGCAAACTTAGTGATCTCTCTTATCCTCCCCATTGTCCCTTACCCACAAAGAAAGGGAATTGAAACACACACACACTGAACCACCAAACAGGGAGTTAATGCAAACAACCAAATCAATCAAAATGCTCAATTCCGCAACAAATATTCCAACACAACAAACTAACAAAGCAAGAAACAAAATCAAATCTTGAAACCACCCCACAAGGGCAAATCAAGCGCACCAGTGGGAATAGAGGCAATTACCTCCAACACTATTGTGATTGGAGCAACCAGCAACAGCCCTAGCAAGGATGGGAAGGGATTGGAGCTGAGAGTGAGAAAAGGGAACCATGGGCATGCAAATGCAAACAGTGGACGTTGTGCCACCATCCAAACCCAACAAGACTCCAGTGCCGCCATCTGACACACCCATGTCATCCTCAAACTCCCAGATTTCTCCATTTCTGTACCTCTTCATCCCTGCATCAAGAACCACCTGATCCTCTTCTTTCTCCTTCTCCTTCTCCTTCTCCTTCTCCTTCTCCGGCGTCATCAGCCACTATTTGAAAACTTGAAGAGAAAGAGGCAACGTTGACGGGAGAGAACGGACAAGGACGGGAGAATGAGAACAAGGAGAAGATGACTACCAAAGTCTTAATTTTTAATGACTGGGTGTCATTAAAATATGCCAAAGTTTCAAACTTAGACGGCCGCTGAAATAGCCACACTCTCTCTCTCCTTGTCCTTTGTTAGGATTTGATATTCTCTGTTCTGTTCTGCTGCAAACGAACAGAAGCTGAAGAGAAGAGAGAAAGATTGATATTCTCCTTGAGCGCATGCGCAAGAACAAAACCAGAAAAAAGCCTAAAGAGGCTCAAGAAGACAAGAAACAACTCACTCACTGCCCGGAACAGATCCGAGCTGGTGTTAAATATTTCTTATTCATCATAAATCATAAAATAATAATAATAAAAAGCTTATTAGTGACATCATTACCTACTTTAAAACCTGATGGTAAGAAATGAAAAGAAAAGGTTTTATTTATTTATTAATGAGAATCAAACAACGTATCAAAGATTTTACAATACTTAAAGATTATATATTTTATTAAAAAATTAATGAATTTAATTTTTAAATTTAGAAAAAATATGTTCACTCTCAAAATTCATCATATTCTATCATTTAAAAATTATTTAAATAAATTTTTAATTTAAATAAATTTATTTTTATCTCTTAAATTTAAAAATATTATTTTTAGTCCTATAATCTTTAAAAAATTTGTTTTAATCTATAAATCATTAATAATATTTATTTATGAAAGTAATAAATTGAGAAAATTATGCAACATCAACTATGTTTAATGTTATATTTTTATTAATAGAAATACTAATATATAAATTTTATATGACGATATTTAATAGATTTTTAAAATTTTAATATAAGAATTAAAATAAATTTTTTTAAAATTACATACATTAAAAAGATTAATTTTAAAATTGAGAGATTAAAAATATATTTATATATTTTTATCTTTTAAATTTGATGACCAAATCTCCTTTATCTCTCATTATACATAAATAATAATAGTTATATAAAAAATATTTTCATTCTTTCCGACTACCTACATTTCATGCTTTAATGTTTTTAAAATAAAATAAAAACAAGCGATTAATAATAAGAGTGTGAATAATTTTTAAGTTATTTTAGTTATATGGGTAATTTCTTGAAAAATGGTAGAGAAAGAGAGAGTAATTTGAAAAATAATTTTAGAATTTCAAAAAATATAAGTACCAAATAAGGTAATTATTTTATATTGGTAGTATAGATTCACCAATTTATTTTTAACATTATATATATATATATATATATATATATATATATATATATATATTTTTTTTAT